CAACGTAGAGCTGCTTACAGAATTCTGGTTGTCTTCGTATTGCAGCGGCCTTCGAAAATCGTTGGAGACGCCTGGTCGTCGCTCGAAGTACCCCCCCAAAGGTAGTCCTTTCGTCGACCGTATGGCCAGTGTCCGTTCGCGACTGAACTCTTGTATACTTTATTTGCTACCCTGAGCAACCCCTTCGGTATATGTTCATCTGACCGCATTGCCAACTGCCTTTGCATGCGCCCGATGTATTTGCATCCGCAACCATGCATCTACATGTAAGACTAATAGCTCCTACTCTATTTCCTTATCAAGTTTCACCTTACCAGGTCGATACTTAATTGGACAATTAATCAATCTTATAAATAGGCAATGGCCGTTTGTAGTTGAATAAGAGGTCGCGAAATAGTACGAGGTAAATAAATTCCGCTAGTCTCGTGATCGTTGCCTTGTTCAATTTTTTTTCCGGGAAAACAATGTTTCAAATTAAAAAAATTGGCAACACTGACTTGTAGGGTCCACTAAATATCTATTCCCCCCTCCAACTGCTTAAAGTGTTTGTTGTCAAACATTTAATTCTTGGCTAATAGGAATAGGTAATTGTGACGGAAGTGATCAAAACATATTAAATTAAACAAGCTTATGTTTGTTCTAATATACTAAATAGAATAAAATCCCAGCAAAATGAGCTCTTGTTGCGCAGGTTACGGATACCAATTAAAGAAAATTGAGCCTTATCTAGGCGGAATTTACCGAAGATGCAAATTGACCCGCCATTAGTGGAATTTAACGAAAACAAAATGGAAAGTCGCGTTACTGAAAATTTAAAAGCAGCTTTTTTATTATAAGACGACGGGATTTTGAGCCTCTAATATCAGTCCTGCCAAATATTCTACCACAGGATTTTGATTTTTGTAAAATATTGGCTAACTTTCGGGAATTTTGCCAAAACAATCACATAGACTTACTAAAGTCGAGCGTTTTCCCCTGAAGTCGAAGGTTTTCACACTTTGTCTCTTTTACCATAGAGCGCAAGGTTGGCCGAAAAGAAGGCGATTTTGGACGCTGTTGAGGCGAAGATGGCAAAGCTGCAAGCAGAGCTAGATGCCACACAGAAGAAGAAGCAAGAGCTAGAGGATAACATCGACTTGTGCGGCAAGAAGCTGGACCGTGCGGAGAAGCTAATCAGTGGCCTGGGTGGTGAGAAAACCCGCTGGACTGAATCAGCCCAAACGCTCAAGGTAGGCCCTATTTGAGAGCTATGTTACCAGAGTTTACCTGAACTAAAAAATATAGAATTCCACACATCTATGCAACATCAATCGGTTATTTTGGTTGAGGGCAGATCATTTTGTCAATTTTCTTGTAAGTATTAATGAAAAGCCAACCAGATAAGTCACGAAAAAACCTCCTTTCCCGTGACACAGAGACACTGTGTTTTGATGGATAAATGACTTCAGATGATTGTAATGGTAGGGTTTTCTTGTGACGCCGCCTAATGGCAAAAGGGGCTGTTCTACTACTTTTAGTGGTCTAGGCGTTTCTTTTATTAACCAATAGGGTTACTCTGATAGTTATTTGGTCAGCAGGCTTCCTTTTCACCTACGACTTTATTTAAGCAAAACAATCACAAACGGCTTTATTTTATACTATGCACTTACCGCGCATTAAACACGCATTACCTGTTCATTAATCAAGCATTAAACCCTTAATTACGAATTCCGTAAGACATTTGAGCGAGGGGGGAATTTATTTTCAGACGGCCCCACAAGAAATCCTTACCATTGTAATAAATAATTATTGTCTTTACGGGTTTTATACACAGCCTTTCAGAAAACAGAAATGCTCATTGCAGTCATGTTATCATGTGACAGAGCTAGAATTCGGTGGTTCAAGTGGCATTGGACTCAAGGACTCTGCCGACAGTAGTTGAGACTCGGGATTCACGAACACTGGGGAGTGTGGTACAACTGAGTGGTGCCAATTGTTGAGGCAAACTTGACGTCCCCTTTCTTTCAACGGCTGGACATGGCAGTTAAGGGCACGAACGCCTAAAATGCGAGGTAGCCGTTTAATTTAGGTCACCAAACATCACGCGAAAACCCCATCCTTCTGTTATACGGGGCAGATAGCAATACACCTTAAATGGGTGGGGCACCTCAGGAGAACGGAAAAATAATAAAAAGTAGAGCGTATTAAAAGCGGAAAATAATAGGAATGATTATTTAAATAACAAAATAACCGAGTATTTGCACGTGATAGTTAAAATGACCCAATAGTGCCTAATATGAAACAACCGTCGACTCTATGTCATCTCTATGTCATCCCCATACAGTTGATATACAGATTATAGAGAGATGATATAGAGTTGACGATTGCGTCCAATTGCGCATTATTAAGCCATTTTAATTATCGCGCGCAAATATTAGGTTATTTAAATAAGCTGTTTGGTGACCTAAATTGAGCCGTTGCCAAACGCGACTCCCTCTGGTTGTTTGCAATGATCATTCACTCTAAAGTCCAATTTAATGCCTTGCAGGAGAAGTACTACAACATTACTGGCGATGTCTTGCTTGGAGCCGGAGTCGTTGCCTATCTTGGTGCCTTCACTGTCGACTTTCGTATGGGCATAACAGATGAATGGCTGGCTCTGTGTCAAAGACTCGAGGTCCCCTGCTCCAAAGTCTTCAAAATTGCCGACACACTGGGTGACGCTGTGAAGATTCGCGCGTGGAACATTGCCGGCCTACCAGTTGACAGTTTCTCAGTTGATAATGGCATAATTGTGTCTAACTCCAACCGCTGGCCGCTGTGCATAGATCCTCAAGGTGAGCTTCTTGACTGATGAACTGTGAATCAAGTCTCTGCTCAAAACTGCCCTTCCCAGTAGTGAAATACCGGAAGTTATTGTTCTTGTCTTTAAGATTGTCCCAAGGTATTAAGGAGGTTTGGCAGATTTGGTTAATGTAGTTGACTCAATTGTGAAAA